TTTTAATATGTTCCACTAAGGCCTCGCTGCATAGCTCAGCGACGGGGTGTGCATCTTGAGAGAAAGACAACCACCGTGCAGCCCAGGGCGAGCTGAGTTAAATACTACAGTTCTCTCTGGAAATCAAGGTTGACTCGATACTTTTCAGTATGGTGTGCTGGGTTCTTCAGCCAACAAGAATCCGCCTTACCAATGCACCTCAAGCAATGCGTTCTTTGACGCGCGAGACGTAGGTATCCAGAAACAAAGCATGCAGCAGGCTGCTGGGTGCAAGGTTGCCAACTCCGAATACTTACAGCGCAGCTCACATCTACCAGGCTGCATGAGTGGACGCAGCTAAATATATCTTCATAAAGGAGACGTACTGTCGAAAGTGCACTTAACAAGAAGTGCGTTGCTGTGGTAAATCAGCTTTCGCTGCATCAGACTAGCATTTGCACGCGGGAGACCTCGCGCACTCGAGCGTGCGTGCACCGCGCAGATATTATGCGCATGCTGCTCATTTCAGTCACTCTTTGGCGATTGTCTAAAGCAGTATGCTGTGGCTTCTCTACAACTGCTTTGCAGCCGATTTAGTGCTGGACTTCAGCCGGTTCTTTCTTGAGAGTCAGTACTAGCTCCGTAGATCGACTGTTTGCGTGGAGTGGAGACTAGCTCAGTGTATCGAGTGTTTGCGTCGAGTCTCTGAGTTATCTGAAAGACAAGAGACCCTAACTGTGCTCTATTGTACGACTAACAAAAGAATCGCCATTCTTCTCTTCGGTAACCTACAGTTGACAACTATCATGGAATATGGAGGACAATATTTAAGTTGAGCATAAAAAGGGGGGAACAACGGGTTGAAATTATCGGCTTGAGAATTAAAAATGGAAAAAGAAGAAGAGACCCGCCTTAGTTGCATAAAAATAAGACTGCAGTCCACCGGTCCACGGGACGCCTTCTTCGTTGTGTTTGTATTGCTTGCAGCATTTCCCGTGCAAAATAGAAACCGGCGTTATTTCTGTCGACCATTCTGCATCTGCATATATTTATGCCTAATATAAACTCATGCATATATATCGTTTCAAATGCATATCAGCATTGCACAAGAAGTCGGCCTTTCTTCGGTCGTCGCAAAGCGATTTCTAGGCGCTAATAACTAATTAACGCTGGCAATTATAGTACACAGAAAACTGCCGATGATCATCAAACTACGCCAGTGTTGCATGTTCCTCACAACTTGGGGGTTCTGGCTCATTATTGCACTCAAATCTGGCTGCTTCAGCGACAGAAGCGCAGTACAACCATGACAGAGGTCGGCTTAGTTATTTCAACCAAACCGACCAAATCAAGCAAGTTCTATTCGCAAATATATTGCTGTTTTCATCGGAAGAGGATCGTTCCTCACACCGTGAATGACCCCAAGCTAGATGGCTCTTTCTTTGCATTGAATGAGAAGAGTGTGGGGTTGTCTGCACAGCGCAAAGCCGTAGAAGCTCGCTGCCGCCCTGCTCCACCCGTGGTCAAGGGGGATGGCGATACATTGCAAGCACAGATTACAGAGCATATGAGCGGCCACTTAATGTAGTAANGGTCAAGGGGGATGGCGATACATTGCAAGCACAGATTACAGAGCATATGAGCGGCCACTTAATGTAGTAAATATGCAATGCAGCCAAAAATGCCGCACACGAACACTTTACAAGAAAGGAGTTGCGTCTCAAGCGCAAGGCGATGTAAATCCGGATCTGCCCTGTGCACAGGGAAAACCCAATGTAAACCCCTTGTAAAGGCTCTCTATGCACAAAGACTTGTGGGTTAGGGTTTCGTTTAGTATGCTGAAGTTATGCCGCGGCGCCTTCGAATCAGAATAATTTTTATTGTGACCGCCGTTCACTACACCGGACCTCCCCAACAGCCGACGCCAAACTTACAAAAGTAAACTACAGACGTAAAATACAAATATGAAGCTCAAATATAAAATGCATAACAGAGGATGCAAATACGAAACGCAGATGCGGGGGAGTTAAGGCAGAGAAATCAAGACATGAGCGCCTCGGCCTCTATGTTTCGTTGTTTTTAACAGCAACAGACGTATAGCAGTGAACNAATCAAGACATGAGCGCCTCGGCCTCTATGTTTCGTTGTTTTTAACAGCAACAGACGTATAGCAGTGAACGCCATGTATGCTGATTTTCAACAAGCCATAAAAAGTTAAAGCGGGGCGCAGAGGATTACGACAGGTTACGAGTGGAACCGAACCCGCAACCTTCGGGCTACGGGCCATTCACCTTGCTGATCTCCGTCCGTAGTCATCGACTGTGTTTCTGGTTCCAAGTCGTTGGTTGTAATCTCATCAGGATCACACACAATTCCATTGCTGAACTGATTTGGACAGCAAGTTTACTGCAGTGCTCATGCACGGGAATTACTGTTTTCCCGTTGGGTCTACCCCAGTTCCGCTCTGTGCAGCAACGCTTAGCCATTGCATTTGTCTTTTTGCAGCGATGTACGCCACTTTCTTCACTCTTTAGGTATGGAGGAAGTCTTCTGCTTTTGGTTGTGGACCAAAAATAGCTGCCAACGCCTCTGAGGCAGACAGAGAGATGTGAGGCAGCGGGGACTGGCAGAGGGGTTCTAGACAGGAAGGGGCGGAGATATTCCTATTACAACAAACTCTGGCTCAAAGCTGCCGAACTGCGTTTGTTGCAAAAAATGGATGATGAGTTTCAGCCTGAAACTCCGGTGCTACACTTTGCCGATACTTTCAGGTGTATCATCTCCGTTTCGTTTCGTTACGTATGCGTGCTGGCTTGGGGAACTGCAGATACACCCGAGCGAATGGGTGCTGCGCAGCCAGTGGAGGCGGAGTGCAATACAAACGAACTAAGCGCCGGATATCAGCAACCCAAAACCAAACGAACGCACGAAGGGACTGCGTGCATGTAAGCTAGGGAGGGAAAAGGCAGCTGAGGCATAGGAAGTCGCCAGACACGCAGAACAACCCAATGGCTCTAATGCAAACTTGCAGAGACAGCGCAAAGCAGTTGAGACAAACAAAGACTGTGGGAGTCCAACAAAGCCAGCTGTTGTTGCTGATACGAACAAAGCAAGCGGTTGTTGTACAGATGGACGAAAAAAAGCTATTGTTGTAAAAAATGTTGATGGTTTTGAATTAAACACCAGCTGCAGTTGAGATAATCAAAATCAGCTGGTGTTGCTGGGGTGAACAGAAGCAGCCGGCATTGTAGACGTAAACCTCATATGCTGTTGTTGAGTTCAACACCAGCTGTGGTTGATGAGGTGAATGGAGCCAGCAATTGCTGTTAAGGCGAACCAAACCAGCTGTTGCTGTAGAGGTGAACAAACGCAGAGCCTCAGACTTCTGCCTCTATACAGAAGGTAGCCCCTAGGCATTTGACGCTATTTCATTTCCATTCGATTTCGCTAAAGGGTTCGAGGATTCCTCCCCCTCGCGGCCACTGCCAGCTGCTGCAGGACTACCAGCAACGGTCCACTGGACCGCTGGTCCATTGGTCCAGCGGTCACCTTCCACAGCCACCGCCCCACTTCACAGGAGGCCAGCCAACCAGTGGCTCGTGCATCCCTGCAGGCAGTCTGCCACCTGCACACACACCCAAACTTTTAAATGTGAATACACCCAGACTGTCACCTGTACGTACACTCAATACAGGCACAAGCAAGGTCTTAATACAGAGTCGGCCACTCCGTCGTATGAAAGCCATATATATATATATATATATATATATATATATATATATATATATATATATATATATATATATATATATCATATATATATATATATATATATATATATATATATATATATATATATATATATATATATATATATATATTATAATAACAATGAGTGCGCATGAATACACATATACAATATAGTGAATATATGAATATTTTATTCATATGTATATATATGCACATCCATCTGCATTGTACTCATCTCTATGCATACAAACAAATAAATAAAAGCGATCCCTCACCTGCACTTGTGCTGATAGCAGCGTATCAACGCAGCACTGCAGCAGCAAATGAGCAGCAAAACGCAGTCTTAAAAAAATTCGCTGTTTCTTGTGCCAGCCGCCTGCAGCAACGTAGTGAGGCGGCCCGCGGGCGTATGGACAGCTGGAGTTTGCTGCTGCTGTATGTATTGCTGCTCAGCGTCGCTGCCGATACTGAGCAGCTCCTTGACAGCCCCAAGCCGCTGGAGAGCAGCAAAAGCAGGAACCCCGTAAAGCACAGGGAAGGGGCCCCTGTATACCTCCAGCTGCAGAGGCAACAGCTGCTGCTGCTCCTGCTGCAGTGCTGTGGGCCGCTGCCGTGCCCGGAGCAAGCCCAGGCACCTCTCAAAGGGCAGCCCCAACACTATGGAGTTGTTGGCTACCACAATTTGATCTCCTGACACACACACGTACACATACACAAAGAGAAAGATGTTCCGCTGCTGCTGTTACTGGTGGTGATGGTACCGCTGCTGCTGCTGCAGGGTCGGCAAGTCCTTGGACACCGGGAACGTCTGGTGCTGGAGGTTAAGGATGTTCGGCTGCTGCAGTTCGTTTCTGCTGCTGCTGTTTGTATTGCTGCTCCAGCTGCTGCTCCAGCTGGTGCACCAGCAGCAGCAGCTGCTGCTCCTGCTGTTCCTGCTCGGTGAAGCAGCCTCACCAGGCATGAGTCCCGCTTTCTCTGCTTTGCTGTTCTCAACGACGTAGGCGACGAACATGCCCCCCACCTCAGGCGGATTGGCGTCCACTGCGAATCCCCAGGGGGCCTCCACTTCAGCTTTGCTGCAGCAGCAACGGCAGCAACAGCAGCAGCAAATGCAACTCAGCTACAAATCCAGCAAAAGCAGCAGCAGCCGAAATCTGCAACGATACGGCAAGGGCAGGCAGCACCGGAAACAGCACCCGCAGCAGCACCACCACCAGCAGCAAAAGCAGCAGCTGCAAAGACACCAGCAGCAGCAACAGTATGTAGGTTTCTGCGTACATCAACGTAGGCAGTGCTCTTCTGAGCTCCCTGGGGTCCATTCGAGCCCTGAAGAGGGCCCCATCGAGCGCTTCAATAAGCTTCGCGGGGACTGTAGCCGTTGCTGCTGCAGCGGCAGCAAGCGTAGCACGAGGAGCAGCAGCTGCCAAGAAGGCCCTCGGGGTAGTAGCAGCAACATGCGGGGCAGCAGGACCAGCATGAGAACATGGAGCTGCAGCAGCACCTGAAGCAGCTGAGACAGCAGGAGGAGGAGCAGCAGCAGCAGCAGTAGCAAGATGCGCTGCTATGTTGTAGCAGCTCCTGCTCTCCCAGAGGCGGCCTCTTAGACGCAGCGAATGGCCCAACGTACACCAGGAAAGCGGCAGCAATGGCGCAGACTGCAGCAGCACCAGCAACAGCAGCAGCAAAAGCAGAAGTAAAAGTAATGAAGCTGCAGCAGAGGAGCTGCACGGAGCGGAAGCGGAAACTGAAGAGAAGGCAAAACTGATAGATACAGACAGAAATACAGAAAGAGAAAAGACGAGGACAAACAACGGCACAAAGAGAAAGACAAGAAGAACGAAAAAAAAAAGTAAGACGAAGACTGGTAAAGAAAAAACAGCGAAGCAAACACAAGTGCATATAGAAAGGAATAAATAAAAAGGCAAGGCCGAACAAACAACACCGGATCTCTATCCAGAGACAGA